CCCCAAAACCCCAAAACCCCAAAACCCCAAAACCCCTGAAGGACTAGATAAGGTTGAAACTGAACTAGGAGGGGATATCGATATCTAAATCACAATCTGGATAGACATTCCCTAAATCTGGCAATCTCTTCTGCTAGGCATCATTGATAGCAAGTCAAGAGATGCTTTACAATATAGTTTTGTAATCTTCCTGTTTTTCTCTTCTCTTAGCCTTTTTGAATTTAGGGAGCCATTGTGGTTGAAGTTTGGTCTTAATACCTACAGACCAAGAGTTAATCAAATTGTATTGGTATGTAAAATTAACCGATTAGAGTTTTGGTAAATTTTATCAGAATACCAAGAATTTGATGTTATGTTTGATGTAAGATTACCTTTCAAAAATTTATGACTGCGGCCAATCCTGACAGTGCTTCTTGAACAAAGTTTGGCTTCCTTCTTTTTCATCGGTTTGAAGATAGATGATTGTAAGGCTTTATTTCATGATTTTCTTTTCTTCCCTTGTTAAGGGGCTTTTGGAGCTTGCCTTCTTAGCAATCTTGATCTTTGGGGCTGGAGATGGAGAGTACTTTGATACACCAGAGTTAAGGTATTTGGTCAATGACTGGTAGTTTTTGTATCTCATATCGGGGTTTCTCTGAATTTTTAGATAAACAAACATACTCTTGCGCTGTTGATACGTTTCCCTTTCCCTTTATAACGTGGATTGAGGTTTTTCAAATGGTGAGGTCTTAATAAGCGTGCTATTGATCAAAGAAGTCAGCTTACAAGAGTTTATATTTGAGTCAGTGTCCTCTGAGAAATCTGTGTCTGTTTCTTCAAGCGAGATTCTCGACTTCGATGGGCTTGCTCCATATGTAAATGAAGTAAAAATATTGCTCTCTTTTGCTTGATATGCTTTGTTTCCATCCAAGAAATGCTTGATCAAACATTTCTTGGTATCAAGGCTAATTATTTTCTTTGCAATAAGGCTCCATAGAAACTTTATTTTATCCTCCTTATTTAGAATTGAGATGGAATGAGATAATGGGATACCCAAAAATTGGGACTCTTTTCTCCTTACTTGACACATAATTCTCGAGTTTATCTACACTTTTATCTAATTTTGCCTACCGATGGGGAGATTTCGTTCCGGGATGATTACTTCTTCAAGACTTGGCACCGAGGATGCAGCTGAAAAGTCCTGCTTAAGGTTATTTCTAGAAGTAAACAGCTTGCTTTCTTTCTTAGTTCGAATGCTCTTCTCTTTCTTTAGTTTTCCAAAATTGAAATCTTTGAAACCAGGAAAGGCAGATACTCTTCTCTTGCTGAATTCGAGATTTGGTAACTTCAGGTTAAGTTTTGATAAATCTCTTTCATCTTTTCTTGGGCTGAAGAACATTGTGGTATAATTTTATAGCCTTCAAATATAATTAAAATCAGAGGGGTTTTGGGGTTTTGGGGTTTTGGGGTTTTGGGGTTTTGGGG